GTGTGTGTGAGGTACAAGTCCTTGGCATGTAACTCTTACCCTTACGAGGTGAAGACATAGAGCTCGTGTCTACAGTAAACACATATAGATCTTCGCAGTCTCGCCGCATACAAATATGGCAGTACATATGTGTGTGTGTGTGTGTGAGGAGGAGGAGGAGGAGGAGGGGGCGTGACTGTCACCTTCTCTTCAACACCACCACCTTTACAGATATTTCAGACTCGCCCTCTCTGCTGCGCGCACCGTCAGGATGAATCTTGCGTTGAAAATATGAAGGCGCTGCTGAAGGGCTGTGACGCTGCCAGTTTTTTTTTCTTTTTTGCTTCCTCTAGCTGGCTAAACTTTCCCCTCTGAGAGCTTGTGTCATGAGCAGTGTATGCCACTTTTATAGAGGAAATGCCAATAAGCCTTCCATACCAGAAAGGTGTTTAAATATGTGTGCAGTGTTAAAGCCAAGTAGTTATTATCATCGTGAACTCAACAGACTAACAGATATCTTTGTGAACCTTATTTGGGGTAATTTTTTATATGATTTATACAAACAGGTGATTTATTTAATATGCCGTAAGAAGTAATGTTTTTCCCCACTAACTGTTTTAAGCGAGTAATAATTGTCTTCGTGAATTATGACTTACTTAGTAAACTATGCTAACTACAATTACTTACAGTGTCTTCCTAATTGTTTCTATGTGAAAAGAGAGAATATATAATGGCTTTAAATAATTAGTTTTCATAATGGAATTTCATGTACTACAACTTTCACGCAGAGTAAGGTTAGCAATTATGTCTGTCCCATTGCGCTTCAGTATCCATCAACAAACAGTATACAGTATTGAGGCAACATTCATACACTTCTCATGCACTCACGTTATTTTTTCTAAGAATTATGATTCTGTTACTCCAAGAACTTTTATATTTACTCGTATAATTAATCTCATAAACTAATAATACTTCTCTCCACGAATGATGAAGAGTCATTGTGGAGGTATTAATTCCTTCACTACGGGGACGCTGATTTCATCATTTTATTTGACAAACGACAGACGATTTTCTTCAGCTCAGATGCGACCCCGTTCACAAGGGGTTAAAATGAAGATATTAAGGTTTTACTCCCGTTAAATCTTTATGTTCCGTTTCGGGAGGAGTTAGATGTGTTTATTTAAGTCTGTACAGTATAATGTAACGTAATAATAAGAAGTGTTTATGAACTGTTATCTGTTTTAAATATCTGAGATTTTAATAGTTCCTGGATGATTATTTTAAGCTTAAATAAACTACTGATAAATATTGGTAAGTTGTTTAACAAGCGCTTCTACAAACCTATTCAGCTCTCAGTAAGTGGCCACAATCAAGTCTCTGGCACTTCTTACCAGCTCGTGGTCAAGAGGAACATGGTAATTCAAGAGTTCACTTCCTGAATACATTTCAAGGTTTGATGATTAGTCAGATATTGCTTACGGTGTGTGTCTATGCCTGCCTAGAGCGAGCACCAGCACTATCATTCTGACGCCACATTTGTATTATTGAACCTGTGTTGTATACATAAAACATAATATGGACTTGTAATTCTGAATATAGTTTCCGAAAGAAAGGTATCCCAATAATCCAGTTCCCCGCCCTCTTGTCCTGAGAGCAATGTCATCAGTACCGGGCACCAGATAGCCAGCAGGCCAGTGGTGACTGTGACTTAACACGTGGATTATAAAAAACTGGGTAAGGATGAATATTCTCGTCGAAGACTCTTAAATAATATCAAATTAAGTTTTTGCTACTGTATATACCGTCTGGCCATATATATATATATATATATATATATATATATATATATATATATATATATATATATATATATATATATATATATATATATATATATATATATATATATATATATATACAAGAGAGCTTGTAAGGTTGAGAATTATTGAGGATTAGAAATAAGAACAGATATTGTTTGATTTTTTTAATGTATTTGTCTTTTATCATCGTGCAGAATGCATAACAAAATCCAGTATGTTATAAAGTAAAAGATAAATGTTCTATCTGACGGTGTTTTGTTCTTCACAAATATCCTCCATTATTTTATGGGTTCTGCAGAATCTTGAATGCTTATTTCCATGACAAAAATGTCACAGACACTTAAAGTTAACGTGTGATCAGTTAAAGTTTTTATATGTGTATATTCAAAGAGAAACTTAGAAGCACTTGCGGTGGACAATGCCGGGGCCGGACTCGTCGTACTCCTCCTTGGTGATCCACATGGACTGGAAGGTGGACAGAGAGGCCAGGATGGAGCCACCGATCCAGACAGAGTACTTACGCTCGGGAGGAGCAATGATCTTGATCTTGATGGTGGAGGGAGCCAGAGCAGTGATTTCCTTCTGCATGCGGTCAGCAATACCAGGGTACATGGTGGTACCACCAGAAAGAACGTTGTTGGCGAACAGGTCCTTCCTGATATCAATGTCGCACCTCATGATGGAGTTGTAGACGGTCTCGTGGATACCAACAGATTCCATACCCAGGAAGGAAGGCTGGAACAGAGACTCGGGGCAACGGAAACGTTCGTTACCGATGGTGATGACCTGACCGTCGGGAAGTTCGTAGGACTTTTCAACGGAAGAAGAGGCAGCTGCAACACTCATCTCATTCTCGAAGTCGAGGGCAACATAGCAAAGCTTCTCCTTGATGTCACGAACGATTTCTCGCTCAGCCGTGGTGGTGAAGGAATAACCACGCTCAGTCATGATCTTTGTAAGGTAGGCAGTCAAGTCACGGCCAGCCAGGTCAAGACGAAGGATAGCGTGGGGGAGACAATAACCTTCGTAGATGGGGACGGTGTGGGTGACACCGTCACCAGTATCGAGCACGATACCAGTGGTACGACCAGAGGCGTACAGGGACAGCACGGCCTGGATGGCCACGTACATGGCGGGGGTGTTGAAGGTCTCAAACATGATCTGGGTCATCTTCTCACGGTTGGCCTTGGGGTTGAGGGGAGCCTCAGTGAGGAGGACGGGGGACTCCTCAGGGGCAACACGCAGTTCGTTGTAGAAGGAGTGATGCCAGATCTTCTCCATGTCGTCCCAGTTGGTGATGATGCCGTGCTCGATGGGGTACTTGAGAGTCAGGATACCTCTCTTGCTCTGGGCCTCATCACCGACGTAGGCGTCCTTCTGACCCATACCGACCATCACACCCTGGTGACGAGGACGGCCGACGATGGAGGGAAATACGGCGCGGGGAGCGTCGTCGCCGGCGAAGCCAGCCTTGACCATGCCGGAGCCATTGTCCACAACCAAGGGACTTACGTCGTCGTCACACATGATGGAGTGTTGTTAGGTCTGAAAATGAATATAAATGAGATTATTAAATTTACTGTACTCCTGTTACGAAGGAGTTGTCTGTTTTTTGACATGAAAAATGAACACACACACACACACATAGAGCTGTTTTCTAAAATCACATGAATTCCCATAATTTTAAAGTATAATAATATCTTTCATAGTAAGGTAATGTTAGAATTATTTGTGTAAGTTCTGTGCTGGATACTGAACCATGACGAGTGTACGTCGTGTGTGTGTGTGTGTGTGACAGTGTATCAGCGTACAGTGTATATATAAAACAGTGTTCCTTATCTTAAACTATACCTTTCTATACAACAGGTATGAACAGCAACATACAATAGACCTAATATTAAGAAATCTAATGAAACAAAACCACTTAACCTCCCTAATCTATTACTACTGATCTCATCCAAGTAACTATTCTAGGAGAGTTATGTTAAGGAAGCTTTTCTCAGTTAATTGTGTCAAGCTTGTATTAAACTTTGTTCATGAAATAAGAAAGAAATGTGTTAGACTTGTTTGGTTAAATAATTTCGTATATATATACTGCTACCATATAACCGTATTGAGTGATCTGGTTTATTTAGATCAAGAGATATAGAAACTTTTTTTTTTAATTCTTTCAAAACCATCAAGTTTTTATTTGTTTTAATACTGTTTTAGTGATGATTTATATATATGAATTCTCTCCTCTGCCAGTTGTTGTGAAGCGTCGCCCTTGTCAAACTCAGAAACATTTGTAACGTACTGGGACTGAGTCAGGTGAAATGAGAAGAATTTACTAATGTTACCTATGAAATATTAAATCACTCAGGTGTTACTTTCTTTAGACAACGTAACTTTCTTCTGTAGTATAATTAACAACTAAGAATTAATTTTTCTCGTCATATTTTATTTACTATTGATCTTTTTTAATATAGCTAGAAGAAAAATACTTGAGCATTCGTAACGTAGGTACGGTGGCTGGTGGAATATAGAGCTTGCTTCCTGTCCTAACTTTCGCTGACTTGAGCCCGTGACACCTCCAGTTCAACCACGTATGAATGGGTACCAAACTTTACGGCTGGAGGTATAAAGACTGTCGACTGTAGTGCCGGGCATAATGACGCCTTGTATATCGAAAAATGCTTAGCGTAGAAAGTGCTGTGTCGATAATAAAGGCAGGAATGTGAGAATACGTTTATGATCTCTTCACAATGTTGGTCTCTGAGAAAAATTACATCTCGACGTTATGGGTGAATTGTTTAGTATTGGAAGAGTTTACTCAGAGGAAATTTATTATGAATTTTAATAACTTCAAAAATACTGAATGAAAGGTGATAAGACGAGACCTTCAAACAACAGTGATAAAAGTTTGCTTGGGAGATACATTATGATCAGCTCAGGTTCACTGTCACTGTGTCTGGGATTTAATGACCAATACATCCTATCTTAAGATTCACATGGTTAGTTTAGTTAACTTTACAAATGTTACACGTAAGGACGAAATAGTTTTCACTCACTCAGAAATCACTCGTCAAATTTTCACCAAACGATAACTTATGGACAGATTTTTTAAAGGATGTTACGTTATTGTCCCGCCATAATTGTGTTTTTGTTTTGTTATGATAATTACGTCCTCTACTGGCGTCAGGGCCCTTAGTTGCTCTCGTCATGTTGGACGATAAACTACTAGAGGCGGGGGAGGCGGCGGTGGTACCCTTATCTGGTGAGTGAACGGCTTAAAACTGTGCCAAAACGTTTTCCCCATCTAACTATACACACATATGACGAGCCATGAGTCGTAAAGATCACAAGATGGACGAAAAGGAGACTTGACTGATACTCTCCCTCAACAATGTACTAATATAGTTGTTATCTTGAACGTCAGTCACCACTTGGTTTTAAATATTCAGGAAAAATTTAATTAGTTAAAAATTACAATATATCGCTGGAAATATAAGCAATCAAGCTATCAGATCTTAATCATTCTTATCTATAAAATTTGGTAAATTGGAAATACAAAAAAAAATCAAACTTTCGACTAAGATGTTTTCAAGTTATCATGTCGTCTAAAACAGTAATCATATCGCATCTTGTACTAAAACTCGCACTGTTTACATAGAAAAGAAACCAGAGAGCACAAAAACTATGTACCACTTTCTGTTAGTAATCATCAGGTATTGTCACCACAGAACGCTACGTACGGAAGACCAGACGTATCCTGAGCCTGAAGTACACTAAGGGGTGAGTGTGCATGGACTCTCTTATATACCATCTTTCTGCTTCCGCCACATTAAGTAAGAGCTTCAGTTGTACCTACGTTTTGACATTTTTCCCTTACAGCTGTTTTGGGTGGGTGACTGGACAGTGTGTCATTCTTCCTTTGCTGGAAATAGAACTCAAGGTCAACTATTCTCTTTTTCTTATTACAAAAAAAAAAGTCTTGAAACCAGATGATGAAATATGACTAAGTAAATCTCATCAGCAACTTCCCTTCCTAAAATTTGGGTCACATATGATTTCTTTAGAGTTAATGATGCCTTTGCGCCACACACCTTTTAATAATTAACTCCAGGTATTTTTTTTAATCTTGATGAAATAAAAAACTGTCTAAGTATCCCCCCAAAAATTCTGAAATTAGGGAAGTAATTTTTTGTGTGGTTTAAAAGGTATATAAGTAAGCCCATGGAATACAGAGTGACACTAATTATAAATCAGGACAGGTGCGGCTGGAGGGTATTCCTCGCTTAGGGAAGAAAATATTATATCAACATTCTGCTCGCTTACCTTACCTAAATAGTTTCCCGACCACTCACTCCTGTCATTCGCGTCCCCGGCCATATATGTATTACCTTATGTGTGTGTATATATATATAGTTTATATATATACATACATATACCTTTTATATATATCCTCGTGTAAGTTTATATATAAAATTTAAAATTACGCAATGTCTCCTGTGCTGTTGAGGAAGTTTTTACAAACTCGTGTGTATATTGTTATAACATGACAGTAAGGGAGTGAGTGAACGCATCAACCCCTTATCTCACACCCACACATTTGCTACTGAACAATGTCTATTTCGTGCTTGCCTCCCTTATGTCGCCACTCATGTATGTACAGGTGCTTGAAATGTTCAGTGCCAAGCTATGTGAGCGAGGCAGCCGTCAATCATAGTTCTTTGTAGGGGAGGCAATATTTCTGTGTTTACCAACCAAAGAATAGTAGGGCTTAGTCTTCGTATAGTGTGGATGGGTCAATATGTTTTCATTATCGTTTAACATCAGATCACTAGCTTAGAATTACTAGTTTGATGAAGTATATTGTTGTTTTGACAAATATAGGATCTTAATATAGGCCCCCAATCGCCATTTATCAATTATCCACTTTTACAATTAACAAAAAACTTTCAAATATTAAGAAAAATAATAATTTTCTATCTATACGTTCACTGCATTTATAAATCTTATTTATTTTGATATTTTAGGATAAACATAATTGATATGAATCGTAATGGCGTTCCATCAAGAGAATAAACAAGACTTATCACGCTCCGTCTTGGGTCAAACCTGGTTCATGTGCCATAGTCTTACGTGTGATTTCAGAAAGTAACATTAGAGTAGATAGAACTTGATATGACGTGAGCCAGACTCCCCCCATAGTGTGTGTCCGTATCAAGTCATATGGAGTACAGTACAATAAAGCAGGTCAGCTGGTGTACACTTAAACGTCTCGAAGCGGTGCCAACCTTACAGTCATCTCCAACCAAAAGACATTATCGACCTAACTCAGTGCCACCCTCCCACACTCCCATATACCAGCCATCAGTGCCAACCTCCCACACTCCCATAAACTAGCCCTCAGTGCCAACCTCCCACACTCCCATATATCCAGCCCTCAGTGCCAACCTCCCACACTCCCATATATCCAGCCCTCAGTGCCAACCTCCCACACTCCCATATATCCAGCCCTCAGTGCCAACCTCCCACACTCCCATAAACTAGCCCTCAGTGCCAACCTCCCACACTCCCATATATCAGCCCTTAGTGCCAACCTCCCACACACTCCCGCCATATCCAGCCCTCTGTGCCAACCTCCACTCCCATATATCCAGCCCTCAGTGCCAACCTCCCACTCCCATCCCACTATCCAGCAGCTCCAGTGCCAGCCTCCACACTCCCATATACAGCCCTCACAGTGCCCTCCCACATATATAGCCCCTCAGTGCCAACCTCCCACACTCCCATATATCCAGCCCTCAGTGCCAACCTCCCACACTCCCATATATCCCCAACCTCCCACACTCCCATATATCCAGCCCTGCCAGCCTCCCACTCCCTTATATCAGCCCTCAGTGCCATCAGCCTCAGTGCCAACCTCCCACCTCCCACACTCCCATATACCAGCCCTCAGTGCCAACCTCCCACACTCCCTTATATCCAGCCCTTAGTGCCAGTCCCACCTCCCCATAAACTAGCCCTCAGTGCCAACCTCCCCACACTCCCATATATTCAGCCCTCAGTGCCAACCTCCCACACTCCCATATATCCAGCCCTCAGTGCAGCCTCCCACACTTCCATATCCAGCCCTCGTGCCAACCTCCCACTCCCCGCCTACCAGCCCTCAGTGCCAACCTCCCACACTCCCCATATATCCAGCCTTGGTGCCAATCTCCCACACTCCCATATATCAGCCCAGTGCCTCCACTCCATAACGCCCTAGTGCCAACCTCCCACACTCATCCCCTCAGTGCCCTCACCCACACTCCCATATATCCAGCCCTCGTGCCAACCTCCCCACACTCCCATCTTCCCCCCTCAGTGCCAACCTCCCCACACTCCCATAAACCAGCCCTCAACCTCACACTCCCATAATCCAGCCCTCAGTGCCAACCACCCCTCCCCATATATCCAGCCTCTGTGCCAACCTCCCACACTCCCATATATCCAGCCTCAGTGCCAACCTCCCCCTCCCATATCAGCCCTCAGTGCCAACCCCCACACTCCCATATATCCAGCCTCAGTGCCAACCCCACTTCCCACCATATCAGCCCTCAGTGCCAACTTCCATACTCCATATATCCAGCCCAGTGCTAACCTCCCACACTCCCATAAACCAGCCCTCAGTGCCAGCCTCCCACACTCCCATATATCCAGCCCTCAGTGCCAACCTCCCACACTCCCATATATCAGCCCTCAGTGCCAACCTCCCACACTCCCATTATCCAGCCCTCAGTGCCAACCTCCCACACTCCCATATACAGCCCTCAGTGCCAACCTCCCACTCCCATATACCCCCCAGTGCCAACCTCCCATACTCCATATATCAGCCCTTAGTGCAACCTCCACCTCCCAAACCAGCCCTCAGTGCCAACCTCACCTCCCATATATCCAGCCCTCAGTGCCAACCTCCCACTCCCATATATCCAGCCCTCCAGTGCCAGCCTCCCACACTCCCATATTCCAGCCCTCAGTGCCAACCTCCCCACTATATGCCCTCAGTGCCAACCTCCCACTCCCATCCAGCCTTCACCAACCTCCCACACTCCCATATAAGCCATAGTGCCAACCTCCACCTCCCATAAACCAGCCCTCAGTGCCAACCTCCCACACTCCACATATCCAGCCCTCAGTGCCAACCTCCCACACTCCCATATATCCAGCCCTCAGTGTCAGCCTCCCACACTCCCATATATCCAGCCCTCAGTGCCAACCTCCCCCACTCCCATATCCAGCCCTCAGTGCCAACCTCCACACTCCCATATACCAGCCCTCAGTGCCAACCTCCCACACTCCCATATATCCAGCCCTTAGTGCCAATCTCCCCACACTCCCATATATCCAGCCCTCAGTGCCAACCTCCCACACTCCCATAAACCAGCCCTCAGTGCCAACCTCCCACACTCCCATAAACTAGCCCTTAGTGCCAACCTCCCACACTCCCATATTGTCAGCCTTAGTGCCAACCTCCCACACTCCCATATTGTCAGCCCTCAGTGCCAGCCTCCTACACTCTCACTTGGGATCTATTAATTCACACATGAACTTATACCCAAGTCTACACTCCACACACACACACTGAGAACCTCCGTCCATACAATAATAACAAACCCAACCTATATGAATGTTCATTATTTACTTTTATAAGTGACCTTACAGATTAAAAAAAAAAAAAAAAATATATATATATATATATATATATATATATATATATATATATATATATATATATATATATATATATATATATATATATATATATATATATATATATATATATATATATATATATATATATATATATATATATATATTACATTATTTACTATTATAAGTGACCTTACAGATTAAAATATATATATATATATATATATATATATATATAACGAACTAAAAAGCTACTGTAAGCTTTAGGTTTATGTAAAAAATCAAGTATTTGTTCCATCAGTGACAGCAATTATACGATGTGTAATTCCTCGTGTATTTTATTGTTGGTGTCAAATACAGTATACAGTATCCTTCTATGACACTACATGTAGCCCAATAATCTTCATTGCCTTTAATTTTGACAAAAGGTTTGGTAAACTTGTTTTGGTGTTTTGTTTTGGTTTGTTGTAGGAAGGAGAAAATTTCCAGTGTCAATCATTTACTGAAGAACCAATAGTAGTTATAATCAAATTTGTTGATAGATTTTATTGACTCATGTACAAAAGATGATTTTAAAGTTCGTAGATGAGATTGATGAATAATATAAATGCATAATAATTCGGGTATAATGTTCTTTGCATATCCAATACAATAATAAAGCTCTAGAAGCACTTGCGGTGGACAATGCCGGGGCCGGACTCGTCGTACTCCTCCTTGGTGATCCACATGGACTGGAAGGTGGACAGGGAGGCCAGGATGGAGCCACCGATCCAGACGGAGTACTTACGCTCGGGAGGAGCAATGATCTTGATCTTGATGGTTGGGGGAGCCAGAGAAGTGATTTCCTTCTGCATGCGGTCAGCAATACCAGGGTACATGGTGGTTCCACCAGAAAGAACGTTGTTGGCGAACAGGTCCTTCCTGATATCAATGTCGCACCTCATGATGGAGTTGTAGACGGTCTCGTGGATACCAACAGATTCCTACCCAGGAAGGAAGGCTGGAAGAGCTGGGCAACGGAAACGTTCGTTACCGATGGTGATGACCTGACCGTCGGGAAGTTCGTAGGACTTTTCGAGGGATGAGGAAGCTGCAGCCAAATTCATCTCATTCTCAAAGTCAAGAGCGACATAGCAAAGTTTCTCCTTGATGTCACGGACGATTTCTCGTTCAGCCGTGGTGGTGAAGGAGTAGCCACGCTCAGTCATGACCTTCATCAGGTAGGCAGATTCACGGCCAGCCAGGTCAAGACGGAGGATAGCGTGAGGAAGAGCATAACCCTCCCAGATGGGGACAGTGTGAGTCACACCATCACCAGAGTCCAGCACGATACCTGTGGTACGACCAGAGGCGTACAGGGACAGCACGGCCTGGATGGCCACGTACATGGCAGGGGGTGTGAAGGTTTCAAACATGATCTGGGTCATCTTCTCACGGTTGGCCTTGGGGTTGAGGGGAGCCTCAGTGAGGAGGACAGGGGACTCCTCAGGGCAACACGCAGTTCGTTGTAGAAGGAGTGATGCCAGATCTTCTCCATGTCGTCCCAGTTGGTGATGATGCCGTGCTCGATGGGGTACTTAAGAGTCAGGATACCTCGCTTGCTCTGGGCCTCGTCACCGACGTAGGCGTCCTTCTGACCCATACCGACCATCACACCCTGGTGACGAGGACGGCCGACGATGGAGGGGAAGACGGCGCGAGGAGCGTCGTCACCGGCGAAGCCAGCCTTGACCATGCCGGAGCCATTGTCCACAACCAGGGGGGTTACTTCGTCGTCACACATTGTCGTCTAGTGTCTCCGCTGAAAATAAATATATGTATGAGTAAATCATAAAACTTCACATCCTGAATTACATGACATTCTTTTTCTAACATTAATTCGGGCATAATAAGTATAACACACACCACATAGACACATCATACAATCATTCAAAGAAGAGTTGACACTAAGTACATTCTAAATCCGAATAACGTAAACAAAACTGCCGTCAACGTACTATCTCAAAACGCGTCCTGCCTCTTGGAACTGACATTAATGTATTCATCTCACTTGAGATTCCACTTGTGTTATCAACGTCAAAGAACATCCCCGTGATTATGCTAATACCTGAGACCTAGTGAGTTAGTATGGCTACCTCCTCACACCCACACTGTAGTACAACCTCTCCCATATTTACCTAAATCTGGATTACGACCTTCCACTCGACAAAAACTGATTTAATGTAATAGAAGAAATAAAATCCAAGTCAGACAACTGAACTAATATAAGAATCGTATTATTTTTCATGTATAAGACTTGCGAGTCCATCATACACATAACCATGTTTTGTCTGTTTTGGCTCATGATGTTTATAGGTATTAATAACACCCACACTATTAATGTGATGTGAACTATTATTATATTCTGCAGTCAACATAGACACTGTCATTAAAGACCAGGCAACACCTCATGTCTACCTCCAATCACCATGTCCTTCATCCAGGTCACCATAACACAATCACAAGGTCACCATAACACAATCACACACTACGAATAACTGTCATAATGAAAGCTTTAACAGGTGGACGTGTTTCTCGTTTCGAACATTTGTTGATATTTAATCACATCCACTATAGCAATGTTGAGAGGTTATTCTCTTCAGTATCTAGCACATCCTATTTATCTTCCAGTCGCACATGTTGAGTTCGTCACAACAACACAGCAACGCACGGCAGTCAGTCTTCACGTACCCTCAGCCTTGAGTCCACTAAAAGCTGGAGTGTTTACGTGTGGCTTTATATACCCACCTTTCCCATCTCACACATCCGCTAAGTAATGGCTGCAGTTGTCGTATTAGGCAGATATTTCCCTTAACAGGTGCGTGGGTGGGAGGAATATCTGTCACTCTATGATATAAATACGACCTGTGGCTGACCCTCCCATACGTCCATATGATTCACAAATTCTCATTCCACAAGTCTGAGAAAAAACTCGAGGAGCTTCCACGTCAAGCGATGGCTCGATGAGGTTTAAGATCCACTTGGTAAATATTTCCACGTAATATCGACGTTTATGGTATTGCTGGAGAACCGACTGAGGTGTGGTGGTATTTAGATAATATAGTGAGACTTCCGTGTATGGAGGTCACTCGTTGTAGTGTCAACATGGAAAACGAAAGGTGTATTTTAGGAACTGTGTATGCGTGTGTGTGTATGTGAGAAACCTTCCTTTATATTGTCTATAATTCTTATTTATCTAACAAACATTTATTTTTTCATAAATATATACATATTTTCATAGATTTATCTGCTGTATATGCATCTGTGTGTAAATATTCATACATTCAAGTTGTGAGGTTCTCGGGTCAACACGGTGAGTTGGGGAGCGAGTGTACAGGTATATGAGGAATATTGACCTGACTCACGGAAGGAGCTATCTTGGTGCCATACACAGTTGGCAGAGCTTACCTGCTATGGTATAAAGACGCCTGGTCACGTTATATTATACTTCATGATGATATAACGAGTTTTACTATGGAAAGCTGCCAGCTGCTGTCACTGGAAAAACAAGTCATAAGTCCTGTTTTGTCGCAGAGTTTCTATTAATGATACTTGTTAAATATTAATGAAATGAGTTGTTTTGGTTAATTAGTTTTGGAAGTGATTTATGAGTGCTATATATCAATGGTGTTCTTCACGCTTACCTCTATAATACAGTGTGGCCAGAATCAAGATCAAAGACAGATTTTCCTTTCATTCTCTGTTGTAATAAAAGTGCTCTGCATGATGATCCCCTTCCTCAACAAGGACCCAAATATAAATCTAGTTTAACCTTGTCTCTTCACACAACAGTAATATACTATCTACACCACATCTACTATCAACCAATAAGTCTCGACTCTTAGTTTTCCGAGCCTTCACTCACATCCTTGTTTTCAATACTAATAACCTAAACTAACGATGATGTTAATAATAATAATAATAAGAAGAAGAATAATAACAACACTAACCATAAAAAACAATAAAAATAAAAGTAATAATAATAATAATAATAATAATAATAATAATAATAATAATAATAATAATAATAATTAATAACAATAACAATAATTTTACACAGGTAGTTAATAAAACAAACACAAACAAAGGTCAAGGCCAAAACTTTAAAACCTTTATAGAGAGTTATGCAACCTGGTTACATGATGATAAGGAAGAAACACAACTCATTATTTACACTTCAGTTGACGCTTCACTTATTTCTATACATTAACTTATCCTTTAACCTCACTTCACTAGTTTTACATAAGGCTTCCGACTGTTCCTCAAACCATGTCTGAGTAGCACTTCATCGTCCTAAAGGTGACATCCTCTGTGGTGAGACATATAGCTTAGGAAACAGATAACAGTCACTTGGAGGCTAAGTCTGAGCTGAAGGGAAGATAGTTGAGATGCTTGAAACCAGAGCCGTGTGAAGCCATCTGTGCGACACGGGATTTATGAACTGACACGCCCCTTGTCAGCATTCCAAGTTGTTTCTCCTGGTTGACTTCGCACAGTTTCGCATTGTTGTTTTATGTGACAGATCGTCAACAATCAGAATCCCTTCAGCATCCCAGAAAATTAATGCCACAGTCATCTGGACAGAGGTTGATTTATGAATATCTTGGGGTTGAGAACTCGGTTACTTCCATTGCTTGTTGTTCATCTTTGATTCAGAATCCCAGAAGTGAATCAAGGTCCCATCTCGTGTCAACATACATGAAAGAAAATTGGCTTGATCGGCTTCGTATATTTCAAGAAGTTAACGACCTGAGGCCATCCTTTGGTGTCGACCCTGAACACTAAGGTCTCAAGGAACCCATCTCTCAGGAACCATAAACAACACCCAGATATTCATGGGTGATGGTCACAACACATCCAAGTGAAGTACCAACAGGCCAGATTATTACATCGACTTTGCTACTTTTTGTTCTCATTTTTTATACGGGCATGAAAAGATGCCAAGTTGATGGTTATCTATAAAAACTAAACTTAGCGTAGCTGGTGAGAGAGTGTTATCCAAATATGGTACAGTTGGTCTGGACTCAGGATATATGTTATGGAGAAAAGTGATGTATTCTTTTGTACTGTTCAGGTGTATGGCAAGGCTGAGTTTAGGGTTTAGGTTAATTTAGACTGTGGTTGTTTGTATTTAAATTGTTCTTTTACTTGTCTTTGTAAAGGTAAATACGTTCCTAATTTTACTATGTTAAGAAATTATGCCCTGTATGATTCCTTCTCAATATGAGTTAATCTGAAGCTTATTAATAACCTGGCGGATATAATTTTAGAGTTATTATAGTGTTTACCCTGCTTGTTGCTGTTGTTATGTTCATGATGAAGCCTCATCTCTAATTTAAACAGTGGTAAATTTTAGATGAAGAGGAGTGATGGCATAACAATACTAATATATGATTTATAGAATTCCCAAGTAAGAATAGTGAGTAGTATGACTAAGGACTTACAACTTTATGATAAATGACACACACACACACACACACACACACACACACACACACACACACACACACACACACATCAAAACACTGTAACTCAGTAGAGGCCTCAAGACTATCAACATTGTTTCTTTAAGACAGGATGGCCTCCAACACTAACAGGTCCGTGTCACAGAGCCGCTCACTACACTCAGAAAGACGATACCAAGTTCTAGTGATCATAGTCAAAGGCAACAATCACTAGTAGGTGAGATGGATGACTTGACAAATAAATGACTCTTGAGAACTGTCCATCCAAAGTGCTCGCAGGTGTGTGTGTGTGTGTGTGGTGTCTTGAGGTGTCGCTTTATCCTGCCAGTATAAATTTCACTACATCTTTTATACATAAGAATGAAACCCACGTTAAAATAGTGATATGGCTGTGTTTTCTGATGTAGGTTTTAGATAATGTTTGAAGCTCCTCTGGTTTATCTTTACCTATTAGTTAAGGTTTTGTAGCTGCAGTTCATAATTAAACTTAAATTTGTATTAAAACTGTAAGATGCTGATTATGATCTGATTGTGTTGTGGTAGTACAGTGGGAATTTATTTTATTTGTTTGTTTACACAGTTGTGTCATTGGTGTCCGTGTGTGAATTTGTCTCGTGAGTTTTGAGAATATTATTTTACTTTCTCGTTACTCATTTTATGTTTCGTTTCGATTGACGATTTAGTTGTATTTGTTTTCTCTGCTTTGTATCAAGATTGTGTGTGTGTGTGTGTGTGTGTGTGTGTGTGTGTGTGTGTGTGTGTGTGTGTGTGTGTGTGTGTGTGTGTGTGTAATAATGATAATAATAATAATAATAATAATAATAATAATTAACGGTTTATTGAAAGAGCATGGCAGCCAGAAGGCTGAAAATATACAGTTACATAATTGGGAATGGGTCTCTTGATTACAAATAATATACAAGTAACATAAGGATACAAATATGACATAATAACTAGATGGGAGAAAGGTTATACTACAGGGCATTTCAACATAGTGACAGTGCAAAAAGGTAAGATTGACTGGGAGTGAATACACGGGTTGATTACGAGTTGTTGATAATTTTTACAATAGTTGGGACTGGGCTGTTCTTATAGCGATCAGTACGTGCTCGCGTGGGCTGGATGCGGTTGTGGTGTCGAACAGCAATTCTCGGGCTAGGGATCTCGGGTGGTAGTAGGAGCCGGTGTCGAGGATGGTGCAGAAGCTTCTCACCAAATTTACAGATGAGGTCAGAGAGAGCCGAGAGGGTCCGTGTGTTGAGCGCTTCTTGATATATGGTGTGTGTGTGTGTGTGTGTGTGTGTGTGTGTGTGTGTGTGTGTGTGTGTGTGTGTGTGTGTACATCTAAAACACCTGACACCTGTGATCATTAATCCTATTATTGTGTTGTCTCGATCTTAATAACACAAGTTCCATCACCCAAGTCTTCCTGGTGTATTGACTGGGGTACTAAACCCACAGTAACGCCCCGGGGTAATAACTGTTTACATCTGACGGAAATAACGAGGATAATACTAATAATGTTCATATGTCCCTTTTGACCCGAAACACTTGCCAAGTTTACGCCAATCTGAACCTTGTGTTGTTGATGTGTTTCTCTTCTTTTATTATTACTTAAGAATAGTTGTAGAGAAGAAGGAAAAAGACTTAACTCATTTCTGATGAATTTATTTGATTTGAATGGACACACACACACACACACACACACACACACACACACACACACTAAGAAGAGACAGACTAGGTGGCCACATCTCCAAAAAGTTTCACCTTCAATAAGAGACTGGACAGATACGTGGCAGCTCAAGATGTCATTGCAGATACACGACCACTTGTCAACTCGCTATAACAGCTTCATATAGACCTAATACTCTCTCCCATATCCAATCTAAGTACCACAAACATCAAAGTATATTTTTTTTATAATTATACCTTTCAAAATTATTCTCTTTATTAGTTTTGTCTTCCAATTGGTGTTAATGGAACGTATACAGCCAAGATAGTGAGAAGGACGTAAAGTTCTCTGCCTGGGTGACTATTTCCGTCATCTGCAGCTGAGCGTGAGGAAGGAGATGTGTGTGTGTGTGTGTGTGTGTGTGTGTGTGTGTGTGTGTGTGTGTGTTTTGTTGAATGAGAGGAAATATACGTCATATATTTGAGAGAAGGTAGTTGGAGTTTTAATATTAATTTCTTATGAATATTCTTCTTCTTCTTCTTCTTCTTCTTCTTCTTCTTCTTCTTCTTCTTCTTCTTCTTCTTCTTCTTGTCTCTATTTCCATACTTTATCGACACATATGAACTTGTAAATTTCTCTGGCTACCAAAATTCATTCATATCCTCCTCGACAAACACTGAAACTCCCTGCCTCAAGATGTTCCTCACGCATCATATAACAACCATCAACTTCAAATCATTCAACTTCAAATCATTCAACTTCAGATCAATCAACTTCAAATCAGTCAACTTCAAATCAATCACCTTCAAATCAATCACCTTCAAATCAATCAACTTCAAATCAGTCAACTTCTTGAAATCATCCAACTTCAAATAAATTAATGATAATAATAAAAAACAATAATAATAATAACAATAATAAAAACAAAAATAACAATAATAACAATAAAATAATAATAAAAACAATAACAATAACAATAATTTTACACAGGCAATGAACCAATACAAACACAGTTATTTTAGAAGAAATCCTTTGAGTCGTAAGAAATCACACCCTGAAGACTTCGAAACATGATACTGAACTATCTACGTATAACTGGTGGTGAAGTACTGGGTGTTCCTCTGCACACCAAGGCGGTCATCACCTTATTATAAACACACAATGATATAATAGTTAACTTTACTCCATGTTTCAACTCTCATAGTACTGCCTTTGTTGTTGTTGTTGTTGGGTGGAATATTACACCTTGATTGTAGCTGTTTGTTGTCTCATTGTTGTTGTGTTCTGTGGGCGCCAAGAATCTAGTGGTTTGATATAAATGGTCGCTGACTTGTGTTTACTTATGGTTTTTCAATGGGTATCAGTTCTAATATTAAATAGAAGTCGTGTTTAAGTGTGTGTGTGTGTGTGTTATAGTAGGATGATTTTGAATGTAAACTAAACTGTCTAAAAATATAGAACAAAATATCAAAATATATACTTAATTTTTGGGGGGTTTAATATTTGATTATGTAATTACTGAATGTCCAGGTTGGTAGTGAACACAGTTATTTCCTGTTACTGTAATTCTGAATTTTTAATGTTGTGTTGTTATATTTTGTATATAACACAAGGAAAATAAAAAACTTATTATATATAAAAAATAGATGATTTATTCAAACAATTCTGATAAAAGTGTAGTGACTTATTAATAAATAGTTTAGCTAATAACATTTTCGGTGGACAATACCGGGACCAAACTCATCATAGTCGCTCTTGGTGATCCACAGAGGCTGGAAGGTGGACAGAGAGGCCAGGATGGAGCCACCGATCCATACGGAGTACTTACGCTCGGGAGGAGCAATGATCTTGATCTTGATGGTGGAGGGAGCCAGAGAAGTGATTTCCTTCTGCATGCGGTCAGCAATACCAGGGTACATGGTGGTACCACCAGACATGACAATATTTGCGAACAGGTCCTTCCTGATGTCAATGTCGCACCTCATTACTGAGTAATGAGCTATTTCGTGCATACCGATACATTCCATACCCAGGAAGGAAGGTTGAAACAGAGCTTCTGGACAACGGAACCGTTCATTGCCGATGGTGATGACCTGACCGTCAGGAAGCTCGTACGCCTTCTCGAGTGATAAAGAAGCGGAGGCAATATTCATTTCATTTTCGTAGTCTAAAGTCACATAGCCGAGTTTCTCCTTGATGTCCCGGACTATTTCTCGCTCAGCCGTAGTGGTGAAGGAATAACCACGTTCAGTCATGATCTTCATTAAGTAGTTTGTTAAATCCCGGCCAGCTAGATCAAGACGAAGGATGGCATGAGGAAGAGCATATCCTTCAAAGATGGGACATGTGTGAGTCACGCCATCACCAGAATCTAAGACTAAACCTGTGGTGCGACCAGAGGCGTAGAGAGACAACAGGGCCTGGATAGCTATATACGTAGCTGGAGCGTGAAATGTCTCGAACATAATCTTGGTCATCATCTCGCGGTTGGCCTTGGGATTCAGAGGAGCTTCAGTCAAGAGAATGGCGCATTCTTCAGGAGCCAGACGTAGCTCGTTGTAGAAGGTGTGATGCCAGATCTTCTCCATGTCGTCCCAGTTGGTGACAATACCGTGCTCGATGGGGTACTTGAGGGTAAGGATACCTCGCTTGCTCTGGGCCTCATCACCGACATAAGCTTCCTTCTGACCCATACCGACCATCACACCATGATGACGAGGACGGCCGATGACGGAGGGGAAGACAGCACGGGGAGCGTCATCACCGGCGAATCCAGCTTTCAGAACGCCGGAGCCATTATCCACGACCAGCGCTGTTGACTCGTCATCAGACATCGTGGTGATTTTGACTCTGCAAAGAAATTTTTTCAATATATACAGTTGCACAATATTTCTTAAAAGAGTAAATTCCAGCACAATACTTATTACACTAATTTAAGAAATACACGGTGGAAAAGGGCAACATTCTTGTTCCTTACTTTCAGAAGACTGAGTGCGGCGGAGAGCAGCGCCACTTTATATTCCAACTCCCAGAGAGTGTGAGTTAACAGCTACATGAGGAACTACGCAAAATTTGGATGCAGAGTGTTTACTTTTTGTATTTACAAGAGATTTTAAGGATTCTTTGAGCACTAGGCCGTTCACATACATGACAAAGACCGTCATTTGGTTAACCTGCGTCCCAATACTCAAAGAGAACGTGAAAATTATAAACGGGAATTTCTTGTGCCTAATAATCCCCTGACAACTGCCTGGGTGTTGCTGCCTTGCCGGGTGTGGTGCAGCCCACTGTGCTCTGAACCAAAATATAGTCCCCTTGCAGATGGTTAAACTCTTGCCTTCAGGCCGTACTAAAGAGGCGATCCTATTATCATGTTGTACCAATATTTAACTCTTAAGCTCATAATGTTTACGTTTTGAAATATTCGAAACATGATAAATTTAGTACTGAAATGACTTACAACTTATTAATAGAATCATCAAAGTTTTTAATAGACTATAAAAGCTTCTGGTACCACACTACACCATACGAGACAAACCTGACTTGTGCCAACCTTAGTGAATCGAATAATATTAGGCACACCGTTGACTGTGGCAAAACTTGCTCAAATATTTTATAAGCCTCTGAATAGTTTCTTGACGTAAACCAGAGAATATTTCACGCTTTTCTTCCTAAATTCTCGGCGGGTGAGGCGTAGAAGACAGTGTGTGAGGAAAAGATATTTGTCATGAGTATATTATGACATTCACCTTAAGTGCGGGTGAGCAAGAATTGAGGAAGATAGTGTTTTTATGGTCATTTTTGGGGGCATTATTTGTGTGTAAACATTGGGGCTATTTTCGGAAGGTTGAGAAAATCCCGCAACTTCTCTATGTAGGTCGACAACTGGTTAACGTGAAGTGTCTTCCTGTATCTGCCTCTGTGTGTGTCTGTGTATGACGGCCTGTGTGTATGTGTGTCTGTGTATATCTGTCTACCTGTGTGTGTGTCTGTGTATGTCTGAATGTATGTATGTGTGTGTGTGTGTGTGTGTGTGTGTGTGTGTATGTGTGTGTGTGACAGCAATATTCATAAGTTTAAATTTTCATACAAGTAAAGAGAATTCAGGTTTGTATGAATATAGTATTTATTTTTCAGCTAAGCTTACACAAAACTCTTATACATTATAATTATACATGACAAAAATAGACTTTGACGTTATGACAATATTTACTGTAGAGACTAGAAACACTTGCGGTGAACTATGGCTGGGCCGGACTCATCGTAATCCTCCTTGGTGATCCACATGGTTTGGAAGGTGGACAAAGAGGCCAGGATGGAGCCACCGATCCAGACGGAGTACTTACGCTCGGGAGGAGCAATGATCTTGATCTTGATGGTGGGGGGAGCCAGAGCACAAAGTTCCTTCTGCATGCGGTCAGATATACCAGGGTACATGGTGGTACCACCAGACAAAACGTTATTTGCGTACAGCTCTCTTCTAATGTCAACATCACACTTCATTATAGACGTGTACATAGTTTCATGAAGACCAACACATTCCATCCCCAAAAGCGAAGGCTGGAAGAGAGCTTCAGGACAACGGAACCTCTCGTTGCCTATAGTCACGACTTGTCCGTCTGGGAGTTCATATGACTTATCTAAAGAGGAAGAAGCGTCGCATACGGCCTTCTCGGCCTCAAATTCCAGAGCAACGTAGCATAGTTTTTCCTTAACATCTCGCACGATCTCTCGCTCTGCGCTTGTAGTGAAAGAGTACCCACGTTCAGTCATAATCTTCATGAGGTAGTCTGTTAGATCTCTGCCAGCCAAGTCAAGGCGGAGGATGGCGTGGGGCAGACAGTAGCCCTCGAAGATTGGAACACAGTGGGACACGCCATCACCAGAGTCCAACACTATGCCAGTTGTACGACCTGAGGCATACAAAGACAGTACCGCCTGGATGGCCACGTACGTAGCCGGAGCAGCAAACGTTTCAAACATAATTTGAGTCATTTTTTCTCGGTTCACTTTTGGGTTGAGGGGAGCCTCAGTCAGGAGAACTGCGCACTCCTCAGGGGCAACACGCAGTTCGTTATAGAAGGTGTGATGCCAGATCTTCTCCATGTCGTCCCAGTTGGTGATGATGCCGTGCTCGATGGGGTACTTGAGAGTCAGGATACCTCGCTTGCTCTGGGCCTCGTCACCGACGTAGGCGTCCTTCTGACCCATACCGACCATCACACCCTGGTGACGAGGACGGCCGACGATGGAGGGGAATACGGCGCGGGGAGCGTCGTCACCGGCGAAGCCAGCCTTGACCATGCCGGAGCCATTGTCCACAACAAGGGCACACGTCTCGTCGTCGTCGCACATTGTAACAGCCTGAAAGTTATGTAGGGTTAAGACACAGTTATATAATAGCCATGTGTGTTGTGTTTGGGTGGGTGGATGACATTGCTAATAGAGTGAAAGGGAGAGAGAGGAGGTCTGAAGAATATGATGCAGATTGAGGATGACATAGAGAGAAAAAGAGAAAGAGAGAGAGAGAGAGAGAGAGAGAGGCAGGGTGAGGTGTGGATGACAGTGAGAGGAGGATGAGGGGTATGGATGAAAGCTGTTGTTGTTATTTAATGTTATGTTTTGTTATGTGTTATAGTTGTTATTGTTTTCGTTATTTATTTACCCTTGGCAATGAAAAAATATTGTAGTTGTTATTGTTTTGGGTTTATTGTTGTTATTCTTATTGTTGGAATTAATAGTTCTGTTTTGGTTATTATTATCATTATTATTATTTTTTGTGGTTGTTGTTGTTTTTGTTTTTGTTTTTATTGTTAATAATAATAATATTTTTGTGTCATATTAACAGCAGCAATATTTATTAAAATCATCATGAGCATCAAAATTAATATGTTTTAAATTTTTCATTTTAATCATAGTTCATCTCAGGGGATAACATAGTATTCTGTCATATTATTTATTTAAACATAAATTATTTGTTGTAGTAAATATGTGAAGAAATCTACTGTATTCCTACACGACTGTCGATGTTGTAGTTAATAGTAGTATAAGAACAGAGGACTAAGTCATATCTGGAAATTATCAAAAGTTATAAACAAAACACAGATTTGTAGGTTATGCTTGGTGGTTAAATGTGCTTATATTGTTGATATAACTCCAAATAAAGTCATATATTCAGTTTTTCTCATATTTTTTAATTTGTAGAATATAAACTAATGATATACTCTCAATAACCCTGACAGTGGAAGTTCCTAGGTTCTGTAAACAATACGATCATTTATCTACACGACCTATCAATAAGATCACGGTAACTACGATGATGATGAGTCAAACTGGCTGTTGAAACATGTCATCAACCTCTGTATAAAAAATTAAGTCACATCACATTTTTATTTTCATTATTATCTAAAGTCTCGCGTGTCTAGCTGTTGATTACGCGCTCTATTAACCCTTTCTTACTTGTCCTTGAAATAGCTTTTTAGTTTTTCACCGACAATACACTAAGAAATTTCTATTCCAAGTTCGGCCGCTACCCCGCACTCCCCGACCCGACCACCACACAAGCGAGGGAGGACTGGTGAGCTCCTTCGTGTATCGACGACTGCAGCAGACAACATCAGCTTCCTCACTTTTATAGTTTTAACACTAAGAGTGCGGTAAACGAACACAAGTGCTGTTGTACATACTTCTAGACTATATACACCCGCGCCTCTCACTCCGATGTACCTCTTTCTGAACCCGGACCGAAAACACAAAGTCGGTTACAACCACTTTGAGTACTTGCAGTGCCGAAGAATCCTGACATAGTTGGAAAAATAATAATATTTTTTTTTTTGCCCAGGGTTTTCCACCAGGTGTTTTAACTCGTTTTTTTTTATGAGTTATTTCCATTTTTCTGTCAATACACGTAACAGCTGAATGACAGGAGAAGCCCATAACCTTAGAATAAGTTATAGGTAGAGATGGAGGTACAGTATCATAGCCCGTGGTGTTGAAATAGCAGAGAGGAGATATTTACCTCCCATAAACTAAGGCTAAGCTATTCTCAGTTTCTTCATTACAGACGGAATCTCAAACTCTTGGTCATGTTGCAAGACTCAACAGTAACCACCAAGCAAAAGATCACTGAGAAAGATTGTGCCACAGATGTTGAGGACATAAAGATAACAGACAATAGTTTAAATGATTCTTTTTCTCTTGTCTTTAACTTTAGACTAGTTCCGTTTTTATTCGAAATTTTATCTTGAAATATTATAAAGTTTCATCTCGTTTAAAATTCTAAAAGTTTTACCATGTGAGTTGAGGTGAAGTATTTGTCTATTTTCATCATCAGTTCTGTGTATTGATAAGTTTCGTCTTAGTTACATTATTTCATACAGTTTTGAAATATAAACAATCAACTTTTATCAACTATTTCTTATATTTATTCACCATCAATATATCACAATGTTCCATCTCATTATTCATTATAATTACACAAGAATCATCATCTCGAAACGTATTTAATCAGGTAATTATCACTAAATCTCTTCCTATGATGAATGAAAGAAAACAATTATTTACTTAACTAACAAAGGAAAAATTTATCTAAGAACTTTAAGTAATAGTTAAGGGAATATATCAATCTTTTAATACCGTACTTATTTTTTTCTTCTCATTAAATAAGTGTTTATCCCATAATGAGTTTAGCTTAATTTATTTATGCTTTTTAGAAATATATTAAAAAGACGTAGATTCACATTATAGTACTCGTTTACTTGACGCTTTGGTTGACACACACACACACACACACACACACACACACACACACACACAGGATACAACAGTCAGGGTAAGTCAGAACGGAGACTCATTCCCTTGACTCGGTTTCACCACGGAGACCAAACTTTTGTCCCTGACTGTACCACTGTAACTTGTCAGTGACCCAACAGGTGTAACTCTCTCCCTATAACGGTTCCTAAGTGTGTGTGTTCTTGGATAGTTATCATAAGGCTCTGAAATACTACCATAGGTCCTTAGTGTACTGTGGTCTAGACTGATCTTGTTTCCATGTTATTATTTTTCATTATCCACTAATATCAACAGAGCTCCTTTCATTGGACTTTATCTGTGAAGGAGAAATAAATATCAACTTTTCTCACTATTACTTCGATATCAAATAACCTATACTTAAATAATAAACTCATAACAATAAACACTGGGATAATTGTTGTTTGTATTTGGTCGAGGTGTAAATATCTTAGTTGGCCAAGCAATACTTTCGTAACTGAGGTTGTAAACTGTGTGATCTATTCTGAGATTTGCCTCGAGTGTTGGAGCAGATGTGACCAATGGACAGATAATGAGCTGCTTGATTGGGCCATCGACGGAAGTATCTTGATGATCTTGCCCACCTGTGTGTGTGTGTGTGTGTGTGTGTGTGTGTGTGTGTGTGTGTACAGTGTCTTACCCCTGAGACGTTTCCTGTTACGTATATAAATTAATTAGTTATTTATGAAGAATGTGTTTATATATATAAATTCTATACTTGTTTTGTCTTTGTTTATATACTTGGTTAATACGTCACATGATCTTTAGTATCTTATCAGTGATTATAAGGACGAGTCTTATCACAAGTACTCTGCTTCCCTTTCTTATCATATCCCCGCCCATTGATTTCGCGATCACGCTGACCAATATACTACAGGTTGATACTCATTTGTACATACACGCATACAGGGAAACGTTGATGCATGCTATTATCCAAACATACAAACAAACATATCCAAGCATACCCTTACACATGCAGTTATTCATACATACCATCTCCGCATACAGACATACATTCAAATACAGTCAAATATCAGCTAAGGACCCGCCAACAGGTTTCAGTCTGCTGTAAAAAGATAGCTGTTCCTCTCGCCCTCAATTACACTGAGTATACAAGGTAACGGAACTGGCGAGGAGCCACACGTGTACCAACTACCTGACTGACTCACCAACCTCGATAGTGACTCACCAACCTCGATAGTGACTCACCAACCGCGATAATGACTCACTAATCTTAATATTGACTAGCCAACCTCGATAATGACTCACCAACTTCAATCGTGACTCATCAACCCTAACACTGACTCACCAGATTTACCAACCTACTAATTTTAATACTGACTCATCAGGCTCTTCACCGACTCTCGAAATCCAAGAGATTAAGTTGTGTTACTGAAGGGAGTCATTCAATGTACTCAAGGGGTCGGCATCGTTCCCTGGGGTTAACAGGTACAGTCCCCTTCACTAGTGAGTTTACAGGGGTTAGTCAGGTTTTGTGCAGTGTGGTAACCCTGTTTTTGTTTACATTCGACAGAAGGAATCTCGCAATTGTAAACATAGTAACGGAATCAAATTAAAATAATATTAAAACAAATATCTCAATGAAATGATTAGTGGAATGTTTATATGACGAGCCCCTGTAAACGCACTAGTGAAGGGGACTGTACAATGATTGATATTACGAGAGCATTACAGTATCTACCCTTACCAATATCAACACTGTGAGCTTTTCCTAGTAAAACTATGGCAGCGGTGGGATTCGAACCCACGCCTCCGAAGAGACTGGTGCCTTAAACCAGCGCCTTAGACCGCTCGGCCACGCTACCTTGTCAACACTGACCACACACATAATTTTTAATTGCGGTGCCGTGAATTTGATTATCAGCATTTAGTACCGTCCTTGTGTAAGTCGTAACTTGAATAAAAAAGACAAATAAATCACCTAGTTAAATTTGTCTTATAAGAATAAACAACTTCTATTATTTAAGGAAAACATAAACTCTTTCGTTGTAATATAACCCCATTTGTTTTTATACAATCATCTGTACTAAATTCGTAGACAAAGTACTCCCGTTAAGCATCACTGTCCACCTTTGATATAATACACACTAATACTTCCCCCCCCCCACACACTCCATACTGGCACCAACACCAGTATCCACTTACGTTCCTGAGGTGTAAACAGAGTCGTCTCACTAACATCAACACACTGCACCTGCTCAACATCCCAATGAAGCCTGGCGTTAATAATTTTTCCTTGGTTAAGTATCAAAATCTTATCAAAACCACATTCTTAAGGCGGATTCGATTTGAAGTTAATGTTATTTGTAAACCTTTTTAAGTGTTAAATAGCGAGCTAGTTAAATGAGCTATTATTCCATCACCTGGGATATTATAACACCTGAACCTCTAATATGCCCAGCCAATGGCAAAGGTTTTGACATATGGCAAGGTTGTGGTGAGCTTCGTACACGATACAACCGGCTGTCACTCGGCTGTCATGTACCACGTGACGAATGACAGGACGCACACAGGATACATTACTGTCATAAAGCATTCTTATTGCCCCCCTGCCGCCACTAATCGGCCGTAAAGCGATTGCTGCCACTCATTCGTATCGCCTCCCTGCCGCCGTTAATCGCCCGTAAGGCGATTGCCGCCACTCATTCTTATCGCCTCCCTGCCGCCTTGCTCCCACTCATTCTTATTGCCTCCCTGCCGCCGTTAATCGTCCGTAAAGTGATTGCTGCCACTAATTCTTATCGCCTCCCTGCCGCCGTTAATCGTCCGGTAAGGCGATTGCCGCCTCCCTGCCGCCGTTAATCTCGATTCTGCCACTCATCTTATCGCCCCCCTGCCGCCGTTAATCACACGTAAGGTGATTGGCGCCACTCGATCTTATGCCCCCTGCCGCGTTAATCGCCCTTAAGGCGATTGCCGCCACCTCATTCTTATCGCCCCCCTGCTGTCGTTAATCACACGTAATAAGGTGATTGGCGCCACTCATTTTTATCACCCCCCTGCCGCCGTTAATCGCCCGTAAGGCGATTGCCACCACTCATTCTTATCGCCCCCCTGCTGCCGTTAATCGCCCATAAGGCGATTGCCGCCACTCATTCTCATTACCTCCCTGCCGCCGTTAATCGCCCGAAAGGCGATTGCCGCCACTCAATTTTATCGCCCCCTTGCCGCCGATAATCGCCCATGAGGCGATTGCCACCACTCATTCTTATTGCCCCTCTGCCGCCGTTAATCGTCCGCAAGGCGATTGCCGCCACTCATTCTTACCGCCCCCCTTCCGCCGTTAATCGCCTTCAAGGCGATTACCGCCACTCATTATTGCCTCCCTACTGCCGTTAATCACCCGTAAGGCGATTGCCGCCACTCATTCTTATTGCCCCCCTGCTGTCGTTAATCACACGTAAGGTGATTGGCGCCACTCATTCTTATTACCCCTCTGCCACCGTTAATCGCCCGTAAGGCGATTGTCGCCACTCATTCTTATTGCCCCCCTGCTGTCGTTAATCACACGTAAGGTGATTGGACCCATTTTTCGTTTTCGGCTCTTTGCTGCCGTTAATCACATGTAAGACAAATGTTGACATTTTTCGTTTTCGCCAAACTGCTGCAAGTAATCACATGTATGGCAATTGTTGCCATTTTTCGCTTTCGCCTCTCTGCTGCCGTTAATCACATGTAAGACAAATGTTGCCATTTTTCGTTTTCGCCCCACTGGTGCCGTTAATCACATGTAAAGCAAATGTTGCCAGTTTTCGTTTTTGCCACACTGCTGCCAT